AGACACTGGAAAAAGAATAAAGTACCTAAAACAAACAGAATGAAAAAAATAGTAAAGATTAAGGCAGAAATAATGAAACAGAGAGTAGAAACCTGATCAAGGAAGTCAGTGGAAGCAGTGATAAAACCCAGGAAATTGAAAATCTTTAGTTAGACTAATCAAGAAAAAGAGATAAGACTGAAATTACTAAAGTCAAGAATGAAAGAGGGGAGATATACTGCCAACCTTTCAGAAAGGAAAAAGACTAAGGGAATACTATGGACAAATATATTCAAATAAATTAAATAATGTAGATGAAATGGACAACTTTCTAGGAAGATATAAACCACCAAAATGGACTCCAGAAAATAAAAATAGGAAATATGAATAGACCTATAACAAGGAGATAGAATAAGCACTTAAAAATCTTCCTACAAATAAAAACTCAGGTTCATATGGCTTTATATTGAATTATACCAAACATTTAAAGAAGAGTTAATACCAGTTCTTCACAAACTCTTCCAAAAATATGGAAAATGGGGAACTATTTTCCAACTTATTTTACGAGGCAAGTATTTACCTTGATTCTAAAACCAGACTAAAACATCACAAGAAAACTACTGACTGTTACTCCTAGTGAACATGGCACAAAAATACTTAATAAAATTATAGAAAATGAAATCCAACATTATAGTCGATGACCCAGTGGGATTTATCCCAGAAATTCAAGGTTGGTTTAATTTTTTTAAAAAATGATTTAATGTATTTATTCACGAGAACACAGAGAGAGGCAGAGACATAGGCAGATGGAGAAGCAGGTTCCCTGTGAGGAGCCTCATGAGGGATTTGATCCCAGGATCCCAGGATCACGACCTGAGTCAAAGGCAGACACTTAACCCCACTGAGCCATCCAGGTGTCCTGGTTGGTTTAATTTTTAAAAACCAATTAATGTGATACACCAAATCAATAGAATAGGGAGGAAAAAAACATCATCTAATAAGTGAAGAAAAAGTATTTAACAAAACTCAACACTTTTTTTGTGATTAAAAAATAAATAAATAAAACACTAAACAAACTAGTAGAAGGAAACTTCCTCAACCTACTGAGGATACATGAAAAATCCACAGGTAACATCATACTTATGGTGAAAGACCAAAAGGTTTTCCTTAAGATCAGAAACAATCATGTTCATTCTTGGTATTTACATTCAAGCTAAAGATGTTCATTCTTTCCACTTATATTCAAGTCAGAGAAATTGGGCAATAAAACCAAATAAAAGGCAATTAGATTGGGGGGCGGGGAGAAATGAAATTATCTCTATACAAATGGCATAATCTTTTATTTAAAAAATTCTAGAAATCATTAAAAAACTATTGTAATTAATAATTCAGCAAAGTTGCAGGGTAAAAGTTAATATATGGTTATCTTTCTATATACGAGCAAGAAACAAACTAAAGATGAAAGGAAAAAACAATAACACAATAGCATCAAAAAGAATAAAATATTTAAGGATTAATTTAGCACAAAAAAGTGTAAAAATTATACTCAAACTACAGAATATTGTTGAAAGAAATCAAAGAAACTTAAAAATAGAAAGAATAGTTCATGTTCATAGATTAAGTTTATTGATAATAGTGGTCATAGTAATACTTCCCAAACTGATCTATAGATTCAATATCATCCTTTTCAAAATTCCAACTGACTTACTTGAAGAAATTGACAATCTGATTCTAAAATATATATAGAAATTCAAAGGACCCAAAATAGTAAAAATAATCTTGAAAATGAAGAACAAAGCTATAAAACTCACACTAATTTCAAAATCTAGAATTTATTATAAAGCTACAGGAATCAAGATCACCTGATACTGGCATAAAAATAGATATTTAGATCAATGGGATAGAATTGAGAGCCCAGAATCAACCTTTACATCAATCAACTTAGGGTCCATTGATTTTTGACAAGAATTCATAGATCATTCAATGGGGAAAAGGATAGTATTTTCAACAAATGATGGTGGGGCAACTGGATAGCTATATAAAGTTATTTTGTACTTCTTCCTTATGCTTTACACAAACAAATTAACTCAAAATAGGTGAAAATCTAAGGAGTTAGTTATAAAACTCTTATAAGAAATCTTAGGTTAAAGGCAAAGCCTTCTTAGAGGTACCAGAAGAACAAACAACCACAATAGAAATGGATTAGATTTTTATCAAACTTAGAAACTTCTGTGTTTCAGAGAACACCATGAAGAAAGTGATAAGACAACTCACAGAATGGGAGAAAATAGGGCTTGTATCCAGAATATATAAAGAGTTCTTTTAACTCACTTATATAAAAGACAATCCTATGGGAAAAAAATGGGAAAAGAATCTGAAGACATTTTTCAGGTTTACAAATGGCTAATAAACTCATGAAAAGAGGGACGCCTGGATGGCTCAGTGGTTGAGCATCTGCTTTGGGCTTGGGTCATGATCCTGGAGACCCGGGATCGAGTACCACATCAGGCTTCCTGCATGGGGCCTGCTTCTCCCTCTGTCTGTGTCTCTGCCTCTCTCTCTGTGTCTCTCATGAATAAATAAATAAAATATTAAAAATAAAAATAAAATAAACTCATGAAAAGATGCTCATCATACATCATTAACCATTAAATAAATCAAAACCACAATGAACAACCATTTCACATTCACCAGGATGATTTAATCAAAAAGATAATAATAAGTATTAACAAGGACGTGGATAATTTGAAATCTTCATAATTTGCAGGCAGGCATGAAAAATGGTACAATTGCTCTGGAAAACATCCTGGCAGTTCCTCAAAACGTTAAACACAGTCAGCATGTTTCCCAGCTTTTTCACTTCTAGGTATACACCCAAGAAATGTGAAAACACATGCCCACGTGATAACTTGTATGCAATGTTTATACCTACATTATAACAGCCAAAAAAGTGGAAATAACCCAAGTGTCCATCCTCTGATGAATGGGTAAATTTTGGTATATCTGTATAATGGATTATTATTTGGATAAAAAAAGGAATATAGTATCATTACAGGCATGGCTAACCCTTGAAAAACCTATAAGTGGAAAACATCATGTACAAAACACCACATAACATATGATTCCACTTATATGAAATATCTAGAATAGGCAAAACATAGAAACAAAATGTATCAGTGTTTGTATAGGACTAGGGGTGTTTGGAAGACACGAGGAGTAACTGCTCATGGGAATGGATTTCTTCTTTGGAGTGATCAACTGTCCTAAAATTGATTATGGCAATGATACACAACTCTGAATATACTAAAAACTACTGAATTACATATTTATATGAGTAAATTGTATGGTATGTGAATTATATCTCAAGGAAACGTCTAAAAATGTGACTCTAAAATTTACTGTCTTGAATGTTCAGTGAAGCTTTTCTTTGCAACTAATGACAAATCTTGGGAATATATGTGGAAAATAGCTAAAAAGCTTTATTTAAAGCCATGGTTTTCCTTTAGAGTTTCTACTGATGCTCTTCTTCAATCGAGGTCAAGGGGTTATACATTTTTAAACAATAGTCCAGATATGGAAGAAGCAAATTTTTTCAACAAAAATTCCTAACTACTACCACACTCTACTATGCATTTGAATTTAGAAAATTCCAACATGGACCCTAATAACACATTTTCTAACACCTTATGTATTTGTTTTCTATTACTGCTGGAACAAATTACCAGCAGCCAAGTGGCTTCAACAAATCATTTGTTATTTTGTGGTTCTGTAGTTTAAAAATTCCATGTAGACCTCTCTGGATTAAAATTAAGGTTTCTCTAGGGCAGCATTTCTTTTGAAAACTCAGGGAGAGATTCTGTTCCCTTGCCTTTTCCAGTTTCTAGACGCTTTCTGTATCCCATGGTTCATGTCCTCCTTCATCTTCACAATCAGCAATGAAAGTTAAGACCTCCTCTCATTACATAACTTGACCTAGCTTCTGTTGTCACATCTCTTTCCTGGCTTTCTTCCTCTGCATCTCTACCATTTACAAAGACCCTTTGGATTATCTTGGGTCCACCTGGATAACTCAGAACAAACAATCTGCCAATTTTAAGGTCAGGTGATTGCCTTAATTCCACGTGCAGCCTTAATTCCCCTTTCCCCTATAACCTAATACATACACAGGTTCTGGGGATTAGAACATGGACATCCTCAAGGGGCCATTATTCTGCCTACCACATCATGATTTTCTCCTGATAGCAATTTGTATAAATTAATTAATGTAGAAAACCCTATGGGTTTGGGGGTAGTTTGGTTAATCAATAAAGGAGGATTTCTCTTTTGGGAATTATAGTAAATTCTGGCATAAGTGAAGGATATGCCTTTATCTTATAAAGTGGTGGGAAGGCTATTGTGAACTCAAGCCTGTTCTTAGGCTAACCAATTTTAGGGGAAAAAAATAAATGTGGAAATTGGGGATCTGGAATAGGATTTGTTGCTTTCAAATTGTTGGGATGGCATACCTACCTAAAGATTTCTCATAACCCAGGACCCTAGTTAGATGATCATTTGGGGGCAGCGGTTTCCAAATGTGGCTGATTTCATAATTACCTTAAAAAATGGAATTAGATTTCTAGGCTTTAATCTAGACCTGCTAAATCAGAAATACAGAAAGTGGAGACCCAAAAAACGTTTTCAATACTACCTTAAAAATATTTATTTATTTATTTATTTATTTATTTATTTATTTATTTATTTATTTATTTAAGTATTTATTTGAGAGAGCACAAGTGGGTGGAGGGGCAGAGGGAGAGAGAGAAGCAAACTCCTTGCTGAGCAGGAGCCCAACATGGGGTTCCATCCCAGGACTCTGAGATCATGACCTGAGCCAAAGTCAGATGCTTAACCAATTGAGCCACCAGGTGCCCCCAATGAGATACCTTTTAATAAAATGTGCAGTAAATTAGGACAGTGTTGATCATTGAACATGCACATAATATGTATCTTATAAAGACTGAAATTTTGCATTTTCTCTGTAGATATCACACCACAGAAAGAAACTCAGGAAGGAATTCCACCCCCGACCCAGAGTCAGGAACCCCTGAAACCTCAGGAGAATATATCACGACCCATTCACCATCCTTTAGTTTTAAAAACTAACTTTGAGGAAGAAGAGGAGGAAGGAGATGAACAAAATGGTTAGTAAGGCTTTTCTCAGATCTACAATGCACATTCAAAAACCCTACTATGTTTTTTATATATAATTTTAACTGTTAGAGGTTAATAACGTAATATATTAGGCTGATTTGGGTAAGAAAATAGCTTCAAATTAATTAAGGATATTAAATTCATTATGTTCTAATTTGTTCTAACTCTACATGTTTATGATCATTTAGACTGGAGGGTTTGTTGTATGATGGCTGAGAGATAGGTCTCATTTAAATATACACAGTTGCTTAAATTGATTGTTCTAGTATGTGAAATATAGCGATTAAAGACACCAGTATGCAAATGATTGATTTTAAAAATTAAAAAAGAAATCCATGAGAACAATGTGTGGGATTTTTCGTTCTGATTTATGTGTTTTCATATTATTTGGCTTTGGACAATGTAATTAAACATATATATCCTATAGATGCTTCTAGTTTATGGACAAAGACTCCTGAAGAGATTGAAGAAAAAAGAGCAATAAAGGAGATGTGTTATAAATCTGGTAAGAAATTAGACATCTGTGGATTTTCTAATATTTGATGTGACACATTTACTAACTTTTACTTTTCTAATGGGAGATTAGGTGAATACTACAGATTTCATACACCTCCAGATGTTTCATCATCAAAAAGCATAGCCTCAACAGCAGACAAAGAGTTAGAAAAGCCTTTGGAAAATGGCAGTGAATTACAAGAAGGTAAGGAATGAAAGGGCAGCATTTTAAGGTGATGTATAAGAGATACTTAGTGTGATAGGCTGTGAATTATTTAGTAAGATGTACATTAGAGTTAAATGATAAATAATACATCAGAATTGAGAGTGAGAAGGAAGTGCTTTTATCAGATGACCTATATTTAATATGGAAAGCTGTTATTAATGTAATTATGCCCTCCCAAAGGAGCTACAGAAGGAATAGACTTCATAAGCGCATGATGGCACTACACCCTCAGTGCAGTAATTCTGTAAATAACTTGCTTTTACCATTTATTTTTCTTTGCAAATAAATCTCCCTGTAAAACAGGTGCATATTTTTCTCTATGAATGGAAAGGACAACCTAGCCGTAGAAGGACAAAAGAGAGATCACAGAATGACATTAGTGGCAGAACAAGGATACATTTGTTCATTGAATGAGTGCCTTTTGTGTACCAGGCAATTCCAGAAGCAATGCAGGTGGATTATTCCAGGGCTGGGCCTTTCAAGGATCTTAAGTTTTGGTGAATCTTATTTTAATGTCGGTAAATATTTTGCCCTTGAAGGCAAGATAACATTTTTTTCTGGCTATAGCACCAGAAACTCTGAGAAAACCCATGGATGCCCTGAGTTTATATAGTTATCTTGCCATTAGGATGAGCTGAAAGACTAGATTTGAATCCTTTTCTCTCCCTAGAAATAAAAAGTGATAGTTGGGAAATCTCCCAAGATCAAGATGAAGGTAAGATAAAGTAGAGGATCAAGAGTATGATGCCTGCTGTCCAAGTACACATGTGGCAAACTATTTAAACATATGGCAGTAGGTGGCAGCAACATACCATTAGATGTTAGAGTGATTGGAAAGCCTTAGCGGATAGGTGGGCACCCAACCTAAAGAAAGGCATATTGCCTATATTAGGGAAAAAAGAAAACAAATAAAAAAGAATGTTACTTAGTGAAAAAAGAAAACAAATAAAAGAAGTTAGCAATGAATATAAAAATGGTAGATCATAAAGATAATTATATGTCCTTTCACTTTATATTATGGTTTGTTTTTGTTTTTGCTGTTTTAAAGATTTTATTTATTCATTCACAAGAGACAGAGAGGAGAGAGAGAGAGAGAGGCAGAGACTTAGGCAGAGGGAGGAGAAGCAGGCTTCATGCTGGAAGCCCAATCTGGGCCTCGATCCCAGGACCCCAGGATCACACCCTGAGCCAAAGGCAGACACTCAACCACTGAGCCACCTGGGCATCTCAACATATTAGTTTTTAAAGCCTTTTATTTTAAAATATTTTCAATTAATTCATGAATAGCCTTCACCAAATTTCCCCAAATGTCAGCATTTTACACATTTGATTTTATTTTTCTTTCTTTTCTAATCCATCTATTTGCATAAGTTGCAGATACGATGCCCTTATATAACTCTTATGTAACTTTAGTATAAATATCAAAATCAGGAAATCACTACTGATACCATTGGCAACTTATGCAAATGGATTAGATATTTATAAATTTATTAGTCATATCACTTTGCAAACAATACTTGCATTAGCTTTTAGACTTTTTACTATCATCATGAATTCTACTATAGGCTAATGTAAGCATCTAATGGCTCCTGGGGTGTTTTTTTCTTTTTCCTTTCTAATTTTTTTCTTAATTTTTTAGGGGATGGTCTTACAGTTCCAACAAAATTTAGCCTATTTGAAAGGCAAGGTGAGATAAAAGCATCATTGGATAGGAAACCAAGGACTGACATTGCTGCTTTTGAAAATGGAGGTGAGTTAAGTTAGTACTGGTTGATTCTGAATATATCACCATTTAATAAATGATCCTGAATTTCCTCTCTCATAACTAATTTTGTTTTTTCAAAATATTTTTGACATTTTTATTGTTGTCTTTGGGTAAGGAACTTGAGGCCTGGAACTTTATATGATTAATTGCCATAGATGAATCTCTATAGGGGAATGTCTGACACATGATACGCACTTTGTGAATATTTGTAGAATAAATGATTTTATGTTTAAACAATTGAATGACTGGATGAATGGAGACATGTATGTAGAATTTACAGATGACTGGAAGTTAATATGCTGGGTCAAGGAGCGAAATTCAACAAGGTAAACTCCAACTGTGATACACACAAAGGCTTGCATTTTGTTCAAGATATTGATAGTAGATTTTCTTCAACTGGGAAAGACTCGACATGATACAGATTGTGAAGAAAAAGCAAATTTTTTTTGTTGGTTACAAGGTTTAAAAATGATTCAATAATGGCTGTCAGGTATCAAATAGCTCAGGCAAACTCACGGTGAATTATTAGGAGTAGTATAGGAAGGTAATTAAATGTGGTAAGTCATTTAAAGTACTCAGTAGAGTGTGTGTCTGACATATATATCAACTATAAATATCAACTATTATTATAGTAGTTCTACTGATTTCTGTAATGGTAGGCCACATATGTGTGTCATTTTATTTTTTAAAAGATTTATTTATTTATTCATGAAAGAGACAGAGAGAGAGAGAGAGAGAGAAAGAGGCAGAGACACAGGCAGAGAGAGAAGCAGGCTCCCTACAGGGAGCCCCATGCGGGACTGGATCCTGGATTCTGGGATCACAACCTGAGCCGAAGGCAGGCGCCCAACTGCTGAGCCACCCATGTGTGTCGTTTTAAAAGAAGGTTACTTGAAACTAAAATTTTATGTTATGAAAGGGTAACTTGTATGGTGAAGAATCTGGAAATTAAGTATATAAGTAATATTTTAAGCAATTATGGATATTTATCTTGGAAAATAGAAGAACTTGAGCATAAAACTTGCTTTCATATATCTGAAGATACTCCTAGTACCACTGAAGGATGGTAAAGAGTAGAAGTAAATTAAAGTAAATTAAAGGAAAATTAATTGTGTTGACTATGTTAATTTTTGCAATTATCTGTATGTAAGTGCAAATACTCTACACATATATACATATATTAATCTAAACATATGTGGTAAGTGTAGAGATGTGGGTGGTTATCACTGAGAAGTGTTAAACACTTCTGGGAAGTTAAACAAAACTGGGAAGTTAAACAAAACTGGGAAGTTAAACAAAACTGGAAGAAGGTATATTATAAAGAAGGATAATCTTGTGTTGGAAGATAGTCTTGTACAGCTTTCTGCTGCCATGGCCACTGACAGTAAGGTATTGTTGTAGGAGGCGACTGTTATGTTCCACGAAGGATCATATTTCTTGGAGTAGATGAAAATGAAGCTTTACCTGAAGAGAAGGAAATCACCATGTCAAAATGTTCAAATACTAAAGGTAATGAGCCATCCTATAATTTTAACCCATTCATAATCTGGATAGATATGTTAAATACAAAGCTTGACACTTATAGTAACCAATAGGAGAGGCAAGGTAATAAATAAAAACATACACTAAATACAATGAATAGGAGTCAAGAACTCTAAGGTTTCAGTCCTAGTCTATCCTTCATTGTTTGATCATGAGACCATCTCTTTTAGCTTTAGTTTCCTTATCTGAAATATTGGCCTGTTGGACTATGTAATTTCTAGGAATCTTTTTAGCTCTACAGTTATTGGTTCTGTTAAATAGAAAACCAAATCCTCTTTGGTTTCTTTTTCCAACTTCAAATACTCAGTGTGATTGGATTTTCTTAGAAGGCTTTGTGAACACTGAAAAGTATTAATCTCATTTTGACCTCTATGACAGTCTCATGTTATAATTGTTACTAGTCTGTGAATAATCAAGAGATATGACAAGAAAATCCATCCTTTATAGTTTTTTAAAAAGATTTTGTTCATTTATTCATGAAAGACACACAGAGAGAGGTGGAGACATAGACAGAGGGAGAAGCAGGTTCCTTGAGGGAGTGCCACATGGGACTTGATCCCAGGACTCCAGAACCATGCACTCAACCACTGAGCCACTCAGGCATCCCATCCTTTATAGTTTTATAATCTCATTATAACATGTGTAGAATTCTCCAGCTGGTACCTTTCTGCTGGGCAGCTCTCTTAGGTACAGTCTAAGAGGGTAGCTGTCCTATAACTAGAGAGCTTTATATGTTCTCCCTCTAAATATTAACAAATTTCATCTACTATTTTCCCCACCATTAAATAAATGTTCTCAAGAATAGGTTGAGGCCCTTGTGATCAAATTATTCTTATGGGAAATGACATGGAAGTCTCTGTTCCTCTCTCTCAGAGATGGAAATATTTTGCCCAATCTATCAAAAACACAAAAAAACAAAAAAAAAATTCTAACTATACTAACACTTGCTATTATTCGCATGTGACTGTTTAAGTTTAAACTAAAATGAAATAAAATAAAAAAATTCAGTACTTCAGTTACATTAGCTGTTTTTCAAGTGCTCACTATCCACATGTGACTAGTGGCATCCTTTGTACAGTACAAATTAAGGCCATTTCCATCATTGTATAAAGTTCTGCTGGGCAGACAGTCCTTCTCCAAAGCATAAAACACATGAAAGTTGTTACATTTAAATTATTTCTGAAGTCTTTTCTTAAATATTTTATTTATTTATTCATGAGAGAGAGAGAGAGGCAGAGACGAAGGCAGAGGGAGAAGCAGGCTCCATGCAGGGAGCCTGACCTGGGACTTGATCCCTGGTCTGCAGGATCAGGCCTTGGACTGAAGTCAGTGCTAAACCACTGAGCCACCCAGGCTGCCCAATTTCTGAAATATTAATTGAAATAAGTGCATCTGATTTAAAATTAATAAACTTCTGATTCTTCTATATGATGGTATTAAAAATATTACCACAAATACATAATTTATATATTGAAGATAATGTCTGTATCTTGGATTTTTAATGTTTTGTTAGTGACAAATTTTGGGGAATCAATGTAGTGATTAGGGAATTTCAATGATGAATTATAAAAATTAATATACATCTATATTTTTTAAAGAGGTATACCCATCATATAATGTTTGAAAAGTAAAATACCAACTGAAAGCTTCTTCTACTAATATTGACATTTTATTTTCTTAATTTGCTTTAAAAGATAACAAGGACAGTCCTCATCCAAAGCGTTCCCTAACTACCCGACTAGTACCTACAACGCATGTATTAAATGCTACTGAGAATATCAGTATGAAGTGCAGAGAGGACCCCTCTTCAAGTGAGACATTAGCTCTATCACTTTTTGGCCTTAGATATATTTGTCTTATCATGGATTTGTTTTGCTTATTTGAAGTAGAATTTTTAAAAAGAAAGAAAAAAGGATGGTTTGAAAATTATTCAGTATTAAGAATTAAAAACAATATTCTTCTACTAACTCTGACAACGAATTGTGATGTAGGTCCTAGTAAATTATATACGTTCCCACTAGTTTATTTTAGGTATTAAAATTAATGATATACTAACTTCTCTTGGAAGATTCATTAGTATAGCATTTTTAATTTAACCCACAGTGAGATACATTGACAGGTTTTTATTATGTTTTGGATTATTTTTCATGATTTGGCTTCTCCATGCCATTCAGTTTGATACGGAGCTACTTCTCTTGATACAATTAAGACTCATGAATCTTCCTGTTTCCTTCCTTCCTTCCTTCCTTCCTTCCTTCCTTCCTTCCTTCCTTCCTTCTTTCCTTCTTTCTCTTATTTCTTTTACTGAACCCTTGTAATATTCTTAGATCCCAGCCAGGCACTGAAGAGGGCTATGATGGTTTATTCCTAAGAAGCTCAGTTTAGTGACATTTGTTAAAAATATGGTTTCCAAATCCTTGGAGCTGGAGCTTGAGAGTAAGGGTGAAGCATGATGTTTGGAGAGGACGTGGTGAATCAGAATTCAGACAATGCTTAAGTTGAACTTCAGAGCTAGGGCAAAGCCAGATTTATTAGTCCACTATATAGAGCTAATGTAATCTACATAGTGAACTTGTTCATTTTCTCCGTGCAGTAGTAACTTCCCAGGATCTGTTCGGGATCTCCACACAGAGAAATAACAAAGAATGCCCCTGTCTACTAAATTGTTTTAAAATTCTCTGGAGAAATGTGCCTTAGAAATTCCTAGAAAACTGAGCTTGTATATAAATATTTCATTGTAAAAATATGCCAGTAGAAAGTAAAAAGCCTTAGCACTTATAAATTCTAATTACTTAGACTTGTTTCACCAAACTAACTACACACTCAAATTCTTAAAACTTAAAAAAATGAGGCAATTTTCACTAAAGGTATTTTACATTAATCCAACTTCTTAAGAAGATTTATGTTCAAAATAACAATTCTAAAATTATTTAAAAAGAACATAATGAGATCTATAATTATATTTGGAATGAATTTTATATTCTTTTAAGCAATTTACATATTCCTTTGGGGAAGAGCATTTTTCTCTGAGGAATGCTACGTATTGAAAATTTTCTCATCAATGAATGTCCAGGATAGCTGTTTTTTTTTTGGCGGGGGGGGGGGCATGCTTTAGGAAATAAGTCACCCTTTGTTCTAGAAAGTAAAGTATCAGACTAGTGCATTTATTTTTTTCTCTTGCTTGACATGTGAATGCACAGATATGTAATTATCACCAAGAGTAATTTTCAGATGAAAGCATCTCTTTAAAAACTGTAAAAATTTGTATCTTCTTCAAGTGAATGATGTCCAGCCAGTAAGGAAGCCTCACTTTAAAGGTGTGAAAAAAAGGAAATGGATTTATGATGAACCGAAGAATTTTCCTGGCTCAGGAATGCGGAGAGGTGAAGTATCTATATATTTGATATTTCTAAACTATACTTTGAAAAGAAATTAAATATAAAATAATATTTCCTACCTGAAAAACAAATTACTGTTGTGCAACCTGCTATTTTAGATGTCAACCCAAACTCTTATAAATTTAGTTCTTTTAGCACACATTGTCTTCCATAGCGCTATCAAACATTTAAGCAGCAGTATGTTATTTATGGGTATGATACCGGTTTGTATTATCCTTTTTTCCCTTCTCCCCTTTCCTTTACAGCAGTACAGTCCCCAAATCCCAAAAATAAAATGAGTTACCATCGCAATAATAAAAACAGAAATACTGAGAATGCATCATATATCCACGTTCAGAGAGATGTTATCAGGACTGTCTCACTGAGTGCACCTCCCCGCAGCAGGCCCACAAATGGGTCCTACAATAAAGTTGATGTTAACAAGGAACCCAAACTCAACCTCTGTCCAGGTAAGACTCTTTTCTTACGTGATTTATACATGTCCATGATTTGCATCCCCATGGCATTATGTAATGGTCTAGTTAATCTTCATCACTACCGTCCCCCGCCTTCTGTTTCTAGGCCATCACCACCACCAGGATGGCTTAGAAAACTGGTGAGAGGATTTATTCCATGAGCAGGAGAGCACATGGCTTAAAGACATGTTAGAAAATGTGTTGGGGGATGCCTGAGTTGCTCAGTGGTTAGGGTGTTTGACTTTGGCTCAGGGTGTGATCTTGGAGTCCTGGGATCAAGTCCCACATCGGGCTCCCTGCATGGAGCCTGCTTCTCCCTCTGCCTGTGTCTCTGCCTCTGTGTGTGTGTGTGTGTGTGTGTGTGTGTGTATGTGTGTGATGAATAAATAAATAAAATCTTAAAAAAAAAAAAAGAAAATGTATTGGGTGCAGATGTCTAGACATTGAACCTCCTTAGAGTTTTGTCTCACAGCACTGCACTTTGTTCCCTCTGAATAGCTTTATTTCTCTCTGGGGATTGTATTCAAATGGTTGACATTTTCTTGTTCCACTAACCACGTTGTTCAATCATCACTTTCAGGCTCGCCTTGGCTTTTCCTTAAGCCTTCATGATTACTTTCTGAAAGGGTTAGTTTGGGGGTTAACTACAATATTTTTGACAACCTCTCATCTCTCCCACCATGTGCAGATTGCTTCTAAATCATGTCATCATGTAATAGGCAAAGTCATGGTATATGTCAGGAAGTACAAGGCCAAAGGGAGGAGGGAACTAAATCTTTTCCTCCTGTTTCAGATGAATTTTGCTCTTTTTGAAGTTGGGTTTCAGCTCTCTCAACAAAAGGCCACTTAATTCCCTCTAATTTCATGTTTGTATTTTCCTGTGTTCACAGTCTAGAGTTCTGAATGTTGTGCACTTTCTGAAACATAAGTAAAAATTCAATGTCTCTCTGAGGTCCTTTCTTTTATAATTTAAATAGAAGTTAGCTTTATTTGTCTTTCTTCTGTTTGTTTTAGAATTAAATGATAAATGGATTTATATATAAAAATAAAGATATTCTTGGGTAAAATAGTCTTTCAATTATTACTATTATTATTTACTGTGAGCGAATGGCTGTCTAGATTTGTATTAAGGTGGTCACAATTATGCTCACTACTACTTTTGTGCCATTAGTGCAAATGTTAACACAGGAATAAAAAACAAATAAATTCTTAGTATTATTATGAACCATGCTTTGAGAATCCTGGCCACATAGTAATACTTAAAAACCCAAATACAACATTGTTAGATAATAGTGCAAATATAAAGTTGTCAGAGGAAAGATATTTAAGAACCAAGTCAGTATATAAAGCTTTGGTTTCCTGAGACACTAAGTTCACTATGGTAGAGTAATCCCTGACATCATGGGAGTCAGTTCATGGAAGGTAAAAGGAATTGGTGGTACCTTCTAGGTATTTTCTTCTTTTTCTTTCTTTCCTCTACAAGAATTAGCAGAATTGTATGGTAAAGCAAGGCAATGAAATATTTTGATTACATCCAGATATCATACTCTCTTGTAGCTTAGCCTCATGGGAGAGAGCCTTATTTGAAGAATTGGACAGTCAATTAAGAGGTGCATAACCATGTTCATTGATAACATAAGTGGTCTTAATAAATTCACTTGGGTCCCTGATGCCTTAGCTTTGAAATGCTAAAATACATTACTTAGAGAATAGTTTCACCTCTGAGATATTTGTAACATTGAGACACTCTTGGAATATAATTTAAATTTATAAAATATTTAATTCCTGTCTTCTTTTCTTCTCAGATAAATATATGTCAACATCATATAATGGTTCAGCCTGGCGAAAAAGAATTCCTTTTTCAAAAACATATTCAAAAACTGAAAAGATATATGCAGGTAAATGTTTCTAGTAATTTTAATGTGTCATTCTAAAAATGGATGACAAGTTTTTATGTTTCAGGGTCAGGAAACATTTTAGAAAAAATTAGAAAATATTCATGATGTTTATGAACACAATTACTTGGAGTTTAGTAGATATCTTGTCTATTAGCAATTTAATTTTACTTTGTTTTATTGTGTTTCTCCTTTGTCTATCTTTATGTTATCAGAAATCTTTCGATATATTTCTCTCCGTAGATATAAAATTAGCAGTTGGAGTAATTTTATGTTAATATTCATTATTTGTTGAACTACAAAGCAAATATATAAAACTACATTTTGACACAAAATATTAAAGCCCTACTATATCCACCATGGACAAATATTGTCCGGTGCAGACTAACAGAGAACCTGAGATGTTTCCAGGCCAGAAGGCTCTGAGGGACTATGATATTCCCCCTTGTTGTGCTCTGTTCTCAGGGAGAGTATGCAAATCCTGGGAATCTCCCCAGGGTGGAGATTTGAAGCCAATGGGACCTCAGGTGGTTCTTTTGCTAAAAAGCTTAATGTCTTCTCCAAGCTTATCCTGGGGCTGGTACAGTAGGTTTGGAAAAACACACAGGATAAAATGGTTTCAGTTACTCCAGAAAACTGAGTCTTTCAGAAAAACTTCTAAATAGGGAGTTCCTACTTATATCATTAGCCTAGAGCTTTTAGAATAATCTGAAATCCATAAACTCTTATATGAGAGCTTCCTGGAATGAACCTGATCACATCCAGATTAGAAACTGTATACTTTTCAAAAAACAAGAACAAAAACAGCTGATATATTCTTTAGTATTTCTCAAAACTCTTGATTTCAACTGTGATGTTAGTTGCTTTTCTTTTTTTTCCCATTTCTTTCCAAATCATATTGTAGTCTAAGAGAACTCTGTTGCAGTGCTTTTTCATTGACTATATTTTCTCTTAGCTTTTTGTGGATTTTCACATGTGATTGCACTTAATTTTGGGGAGAAGGAGATGAAAAGTTGGTAAAAATCCTGGATAAAAACTACAAATTGTTGAGCTGCATCTTTTTCTTCAGTGGTTTCCTTGTGGGTGTGATATTATTTGGAGTATTTAAGGATGAACTCTTCATCCTTGCCCCTATCTTGGTGACTGCTCTTGTATCCCAGCAGCCTTCTCCTTTCTCATCCCAGGTAGTTAAATAATGAATTACAGAAGAATGTGGGGGAAGGATGGGGCACTTCAGAGCATGAAACATGTACCATCCATGTATGGCACAGGAGAGGAAAAGTGACACAGGATGTGAGCTTATTAAACTAGTTTTGTTCAATCTGTAGGGTAAGGAGAGGGAGAGTATGAAGAGGTATCAAAAGACCAGATACAGTGTGGGGCTACTTATTCTAATCTAGTTCCCTTCTGCTCTTCTCCCCTCACATCCAGCTATGCCAGGACCCAGGGGTAGAAAGTCAGTGATGGATTTCCCTTTGAAGTTTATAAGACTTTGAGCATAAAGAGGATCTGCAATGCACTTCCCAAATTCAGCCGAGGGAGAAAAACTTTGGAGAGAATTTATCAATGTGTTCTATTGGTGGGAGTGTGGGGAGCAAGCCATGTCTAACATGAGAGAGGGCTGGAGAGTGCTTCTTGAGATTCCCAAGCACCAAGTTTGCTTGGGAGGATCACATATTCTGTAAGTTCAAGTGAAACAGTTCATGGGAAAGGGCCAGTGGGGCTAAACAGTTTTCTGACCAGGGCTAAAGGCATAGCATCAGAAATATGCCTTTGGGTTGGGCCCTACTGGAGGGGAAAACTCAGTCAGAATCTCAAAAGACTGCTCTTCCAGGGATTTGATTATAAACCAAATCATCCACTCGTTACTTGTGACTTGAAGTATTGTCTAAGGGCAACCAGCAAGGACATCACCTGGGAGTTTGTTAGAAACGTAGAATCTCCATATCAGACCTACTAAATTAAAATGTGCATTTTAACAAGTTTCCCGGGATGATTAAGATGCTCATTAAAGTTTGAGAAACCTTAGGCTATGTTGTCTGGACCACCATTCACCAGCCTGGGACCCGGGCCTTGTGGAGACCCATGATTGTTGAGATACTGTCTTCCCAGCTGTCATGAAGCAGCAACCATTCTCCCCTGTTCCAACCGTAGAAATTAGGATAACAGCAGGGAGATGGGAGAGGGAGGGACAAGAATCCTGAGAATGAATTTCAAATCTGAAGGTGGTTGAAATGTAAATGTGAAATGACTAAGTATTCACTAATTTGGACTAAGTTTATGTGCAAGTGTATGTGTAAATTTTCTACATCAGGCAGAATGAGGACTTAGATTCAAGGAATTAAATAGAATTATAAAACTAGTTTTCTTATTTACTTGAGCTTTTGACTGGGAAATCTGTAACCCTTAAACTATCCCTTCCCATTGTTGTTGTCATCATCAGACTAGAGAAAGATGAGCTTGTGTTTCCTCCCCTGCACTTCCTGCTAGGGCTCAGAGGAGAAATTTCAGCATTTCCCAGTGGGCAGATGGACTGCTGGAGAGAGGAGGGAGAAAGCACAAGCTGCCACTAGCCTATTCTGCTAAGGAATATCTCAGAGCCAAGGCCACAGAAGTGTAAATGGGCAAGAGGAGCCTTTTGGGAAAATGTTGTCAGATGCTATGAGGATAATGCAGCAGGAGAGGAAAATGTGTGGGAAGCAAGGAAAGGAGCTGAAGGCGATAAGAGATGTCAGCCTTCCCTTGGGGGCCACATGTCCTTTCTGATAAGGATATGGCTGGTGTGACTGGAGGTGCCTGTCTCTGTAGGATGGAGCAGTCGTTCTGTTCACTCTGGGTGCACCAAGGTGCAGCCCTTATACGTGGTATCATTTCCATCCTTTTTCATCCCTCCATCCAAATTCAAAACACAGTAAGCTTTGGAAAGAAATGGACTTAGTTTGAATAGCATTTTGAAAATATATGAATTAAAACAGTGGACTTAGGTTTTGTTTTGCCTTTAGATTTATGGTAAGTAATTAGGCAAGAAATGCAGAATGTTGGTATCCCGAAGAATGCTGAAAAGGAAAATAATTGAAGTATTTTGTGTGTTTTATTATTAGAGCCAAGAAGAAATGGGAGCAAGTAAATCTGGAGGTTGAGAGAAGAGAAAAATGAGAAAAGAGAAAAGTGCCAGATATCCTCTGATTTACAATCAAAAATGAAAATTCAAAGAATGAGATATTCAAGTACTCCATACTATATACTGGGTAGCCAAAGATGATAAAATGCAAATTCTGAAAATAAGATGCAGGAAGTACATTGTGCTCTTTCAAAACTGATAAAAATGCAAATTACAAACAGCTGCCTGTGTATTTATATAGGTCTGGAATTCATTCGATGCATTGCCACAAACATTTAATAAAATTTAAAAGTTTGACAATTAAAATCATTCTTTACTTGTAAACAAAGTTAGATTGCACAGATTGAGAAGTGAAATTGTGTCTTTGATCTCTGTTTTGTGATATTCTTTATAGAAGAAACCTCACATTTTCTTTCTCTACCTAGATTTTGAGCTGAGCCCTCAGTGATAATAACAGATAAAGTGTAAACAGACCCAATGAAGTCTCAGGGTTACAGTTTGGTGATGAGTATGTTAGAGGAATTCCAATGGAAATGCACTTTGATGTGTTGTAAAAAGAAAAAAAAAGATTGGTTTATTTTGCAGGGCAGTGCTGAGCAATGTCTTTTAGTTGGCAACTACAAAATCTGTCTGCTGAGATGTGTGAGATTCATGACTGAAAAATAAACATTTTCGTACCAAGAACACAAAAATTATATGATCATATTAAAGAAAAAGGATTTGTAAAAGGAAAAAAAAGTGAATTAACAACATGATGTCTAAGAAGTATTAGTGAGAGTTTAAGGCTTTAAATAACTCTAGAAGCATAAATGCTTAAAATGAAAAGAGACACATCATTTGAAAACTTATTTCCATTTCTTCTGTACTTGTTTAGAATAATAAAATTTTAATTCAAAGAAATTCATCTGCAAAGTGACTGAAACAAAAAATTGAGAATTTATTCTTTAAGCTTAAAGCCTAGTATGACAGTAATATATGTAATTAACTTTTCAAATAGTGTTTTTGTAAGTTTGTAGCATTTGTACTTCTGAATTTATTCAAGTTCGGAACTTTGGGACACCTTTTATTTATATTTACACACATCTTGTGGTTACTAGTAGCCTCTTGTTCAGTATTTATGGGGGGCTCATCAGAGTTTAAGCTTAGAAATATTTTATTTTAAAACATTTTGTAGATGTAATTCCAGCTTGTGGAGTAGTAAGTCCTAGTTTCTAGCTTCTAATGGTGCTATGTCTACCAACTTTCAAAAGCATGGGGATATAGTCATTTTGTTTTCATAAATAGAGTGGACACAAATGAAAACTGTGCCAGAAAGATACCTTGGTGAGACATATTTGAGCAGGATATAAGAAAAGAGCTAGGTTGAAAAAGCTATCTAGATGGAGGCTGATAGGAAACATCCATAACTCCACTTAACAGATCTATGTCCTTCTAAAAGTTCATCTAGTGGTAGAGAAGGGATGGTTCTAAGAAGGCAATTCAAGATATCTTTCTCAAAGTATAGATTCTTAGTGTGTATATTTATTACATGAAAAATGCTGAGGACTCAATGAGGAATGAGAAAAATATGAAAGAAGACTCAAATGTCATTCTCTTGAATGTGTGCATGTATTATTCCTGAACAAATGGACATTTTTATTATGATAAACTTTGTCTAAGAGGGCCATGTGAATGGTGGCATTAATGAATTCTGTTTTTATATTTGTGATTTATGGAAAAGGCATGGCTTAAATGGGGTAAACTAGTAACCAAGAAAGAAGAAGATAGCAAACCCCCAAATTAGAAAGGCTAGAGGATGACCAACATAAGTGGACAAACAAAAATATAGTAAGCCAGCGAGCAGTTAAGCCTGCTGACTTAGGAGTCATAAAACATAAAAGTAAGACATTTAAGCCTAAGTTAATGATGCCAGCAGTAGAGTTGCTTTTCTGGCAGTGAATTTGAATGGGTGTATAATGATTTTACTCTTTTCAAAACGTAGCAGTAATAAAAATTTTTAAAAAAATAGCATTTATTCAATGCTTAGTATATTAGTTTGCTAGGGCTCTCATAACAAGACACAACAAACTGTGTGGCTCAAACAACAGGGATTTATTGTCTCATAGTTTTGGGGCTATAAATCTGAAATCAAGGTGTTGGCAGCATTGGTTCCTTCTGAGGACTGTGAGGGAGAATATGTTCTTGGCCTATCTCTTTGGCTTTGTAGATCTGACTTCTTGTTGTGTCTCTCCACATCATCTTCCCTGTATGTAATGTGTGTTCAAATATCCTCTTTTATAAAGGCATGAGTCAGATTAGAATCACCCTAAAGACCTCATGTTAACTTGATTACCTCTATAAGGATCCAATTTCCCTGTAAGTTAAACTTATGAAGTACTAGGGGTAAGGACTTCAGCATGTGAATTGGGGCAGGGGGCATGTAAAGATGTCTCTTGGACCCTACCAAGGTGAGGAGGTAGGTCTTAAATGACAAGTCCACTCTAACATTTCCATCTCTCTAAGCCTTTTAATTACTCTAAGCCTTTGAATTACTTCCTTTACAGTAAACCAAGGGATTTGGTATTTCTAGCTCACTCACTGGGCCACCTTTTAGTTCATATTCAAGCCAGCCAACCAACCAACCAACCAACCAACCAACCAATCAACCAACCAAACTATTGGAGCCCCTAATAATTCCCTGAGCTGTGACTTTAAAAGTAGAACTTCTGCTTAGTGGGCCCATATCAACACATTCATTGTGATGTAACTTTATGCTTCTTTCACTATTATTCTACATTTTTAATATCCATTCCCACACACAGTTGCAGGGTTTTTGTTTGTATAAATTAGCAAACTCAAGTTGCTCTTTTGGAGTGTGGTGTACTTCCTCATGGGTCATACTTCATACCTCACCTTTAGTAGCCTGCTTGGACTTGAGTCTAATTGCAGGTCTAGTAGCAAAGAGCAATGATGGAGGTCAGACCTGAGGGAAATCAGCATTGTTTTACATGGCAACTCCCTCAGGTAATCTTAGATGGGGGTGGTGGGGCTGCTTCTATCGGGGTTTGAGAGGTTAATTCTATTAGCCAAGACTCATCAGAATGTAGGGCCTCAAATATCTCTAGCTTCATGAGGGTCTTCCCATATCTCTCCATTCCAACTTTCAGATGATGTTCCTCCTCAAACTATGCTGTCAGTTTAACTGAATAATCTGTGAGCCTGGGGTTTCAATTTGTGTTGCAATTCAGTGGTTCACAGGATTAGATTATGAGTTTGTTTCTCAGAAATCTCAGCCTTAAAAAAAAAAAAAAAAAAAAAAGAAATCTCAGCCTTGTGTCTATGAGAGGAATCTTTTTCCAGGGAAGCTTTCAGATCATTTAGGTGATATGTGAACTAGGAATTCAAGATCCTTGCCTCTCATAAGTGTTTGATTATGAGTATACAATGGTGATTTTTTGTGTATTTCTAGTGCCATATCATACCATGGATGATCAGTGCTCTCTTTACTACTAAAAATAGAGTTATTAGAGTCTTCAAATCTAATCAGATTAGAGAACAAGTTTCAGAAATCCCAGAACCAATTCAGAAAACTCCTTTTTAAGATTATGTTCTTATAGAGCCACTCTTAGTACCAAAATCTGTATTCGAGTTCTCCAGAGAAACAGAACCAATTTAATATATTTTGTATAAATACATATTTCATTTGATTTTTGTTTTTTAAATTAATTTATCTATTTAAAATTCAATTTGACAAAATATAGTATAACACCCACTGCTCATCCCATTAAGGTCCCTCCTTAGTGCTCATCACCCAGTTACCCCATCCCCTCACCCCCCTTCCCTCTACAACCCTTTGTTTCCCAGAGTTAGGAGTCTCCAATGGTTTGTCTTCCTCTCTATTTTTTCCCCACTCAGTTTCCCTCCCTTCCCTTATAATATCTTTCACTATTTCTTATGTTCCATATGAGTGAAACCATATAATGATTTCTCTGATTGACTTATTTCACTCAACATAATTACCCTCCAGTTCCATCCATGTTGAAGCAAATGGTGGGTGTTCATCCTTTCTGGTGGCTGAGTAGTATATATAGACCACATCTTCTTTATCTGGTCATCTGTCAAAGGACATAGTGGCTCCTTCCACAGTTTGGATATTGTGGACATTGCTGCTATAAACATTGGTGCAAGGGTCCTGTTGTTTCACTACATCTGTATCTTTGGGAATACATATCTATTTTATATATTTTTTGAAAGATTTACACTAGGCATGGACTCCACAGGACTATGGAGACATATCTACAGGGAGACATGCTCATCCTTCTATAATATGCTCTAGTAGCACAGATGCTAGATTTCACTCTTCAAATCATCTTAACCCCATTTCTTGGACTATATAGGTCTCTCCCCTAAGATAGAACTCCAAAGAGTGAACCTTGCTATCAAGGGGTTGGAGAAGGGAAAGCTATTTTCAGGGTGTTAATGGAAGTGAAGAATGTGAGTTGTCCTTTCCATAGAAGTGCATGGGGTCTTTTGAGTTTTGGGACATAGCAGGGAATGTAAAGAAAAGAGGAATGCATCTCATTCCAGGCAGGAGTGTGAGGCTCTTCAAGCTTCTAGCTTCTAGTACAGAACTCTGAATTGTCCCAGAATTCTAAACACAATCCTGGTCTTCTGGTTGTTATGTAGGGTTATTTCTTAGCTTAATTTATAAATTTCAAATACTTAAATATATAGCATGTGAATTTTCATATCTATTCTTGCCTAGGCTCTGCAAATATTAGAGATATTCAGCACATACATGCCAAAAAGCAACAATAGCAGGTGGGATCTTAACACTAATTGTTTCTTTTATTATGCAAACAGTGGACAGAACAAGCAAACCTGTATTAGCTGTAACAGGAATCTAGCCTTTTGCCAGAGATTTGTCATTACAGTGAAGGAGGTCGGTTGAGCAGAAGGGTCAGTGTTAATCACATTTTTGAAAAACTTCAGATGGAGAATGTACTGGACAAGTATGTGATCCATAAATAATTCCTAATTCCTTGATTCTACACTGCCTAGGTAATTCAGAGGCTTATTGTTGTAAAGAACTGCTGTGGATATACTGCCCAAGGAAGCTTTGGGCAAAACCAGAAGCTCTGGGCCCTATTCTGTGAACAGTAATGCATACCA